GAGGGATACAAATGTAGACACACTGACAAGTGTTATTTATGAAACAAGAGGTTGAGATTGGCTCAGGTGTCATGATGTACATACCAAGTTTCATAAACACTGGTTCAGACATTCGAAAGGTGACAGGGAGGGAGTCACAGACACATAGACACACACACAACATGATGATCTAATGAACTTACTTTCGCTTTTTAAAAACAAGGAAAGCAGGCTAAGAGTGAGGGAGCTTGTATGGAGAATGCGCTGGACAGCCATGTCGGATTCTCTCACAAGATGCGACCATACAAATGCGAACGGCTTCAGACCTACATGGGTTTAGGGGGTTTGCGGTTTTGCTGTTAAAGTTTGTGACGATAGAAGCTTGATTCAAACAGGCCTACGGCTTCATGTCGAAAAGGCTTTAAGGTGTCAAAGCGCCAGACAAGATACACATATGTATTATAACATGAAATGTCCTAATTAGAATATTAGAATTAGTGACAGCATTTCTCACAAAATTCCAATATTATTAAAATGCGTCTACAATTGTCTTTTTGTATGCGTTGGGTTGGTGATAGCGCATCATTGTATTTATTATTGCGTGTCCTCACACGTTCACCCTGTCCATATGAGAGACAATTTGAGAACACAAAGCGAAATCTTAATACAGCCCGTTCCTGGCGTCGAAACGCTCAGCTAACTACCAAATACAGAATACCTGAGATGTTAAAAGTCGCTCCACTGGTAAAGAAATTCCCTACTTTTCATGGAACTCAAAAGTTCACTGTCATGTTCACAAAAGTACACACAAAGCCCCTAATCTGCTCTAGATTAACCAACTCCACATAAATATGTAATGCTTATCAGATACTTTGACATTATAATTTTTAATATTATCTTCTGATCCACGCCTAGGATCCCAAGTTTTCTCTTCTCGTCTGAATTTCCGACGTGAATGCTACATACAATTCTCATGGCTCCCATGCGTGTTACATTCCCCGCCCATCTTACAGTTTGAAACTCTTACAGCCCAAGTTTAACAGATGAATCCCAAAGTGATCCACAAGCTTACAAATGATTTTGTTGGACTTAACAATATTTCCTTTTCAGACTGAGCACGCGAAAGTGACATATCAACCCATTATGAACTTGCTGTGATCACATAGTCCCTTCCCAGTCCCTGAGGTTTCTGGAATACTTATTCGTCACTAGTCACATGACTTCTAATATAGCCCTGTACCGGTTCAAGAAGTTACAAAATAGGGAAATTGGTTTCTGAGAGAACTGCTAAGGGGATACAAGCAACAGCAATCGCAAGTGCGGGTTTCATATCCCATGCAGTTACCTTGTTTCGATACATTTTGTATGGAAGCTGAGGTAAAGTTGGCCTTGTACTTAACTAATTAAGCGCTACGCCTTGAAGCCCTATGGGGGCATTGATGTATAGATCCACATTTTCTTGATCTCGGCACTAACTGGAGGTGAGTGGTCAAATTCACGCCACTGTCGCTTTACCTCCGCTAAAGATCTCCCGGTACCCATTGTATAGAAGGTTGGGTGTACCCCAGAGCCGGTCTGAACGACATGAAGAAGTGAAAATTCTCAACCCCACCGGATCTCCGACCTCTCGAAAAGTCCAGCCCGTACTCAGTCGCTATACCGACTGCGCTATAGTGTCTCCTCTAAAATCTGCCAAGGAGATTATATTTATTTTGTAGCGGTCCAATATTTCTGTTTACTGTTTGTGATTTTGTTTATTCTGCATCCGTTTATTTCGTTCACTTGTTTCCTTGTGTGCCAAAGAACACATCTAAATTTCCTAGAAAAGGAGAACAAGTAATTTTCACGAAATATTCCACGAGGTTCTAGGTATACAGAACCTAAAGAGAACAGACTCTCTTTGTTATTGTTCTTGCTTCTTGGAGATTAAAGTAATTATAAGTAATTTCATGCAGCATCTGCGGAGTTTCTGTTAACATCTATCTATCCGGAAAGAAGCCGGAAATCATATTACGAAACTTAGAAAATCGGTCGGCTGTCAACAATAAATCCAAATCGTTAGCGTAATATTATTTGTGAGCCATGTTCTGTCGGAACGGATAAGCTAACTACAAGCAATGGCATCATATAGAACGATATAGCTACCACGAGGGACATAAATTGTAGGCCTGTGCTGGAATTGACATTTCTTTATCTACTTTTTCGTAGACTTCAGGTACCTTCTAGAAATAAGACTAATTTAATAAAATTTGGCTTTGTATTCATTTTCGTAACATATTTTTTTTACGGTGAGTTGTTAGCCCCACGCCTAATCCCCAGGCTGGAGGACCACCCCTTATTGCCTGTCCTGCTTATTCAATATATTCGTAGCTTTCCTCCCAAACTGGAGGGCGTGTCCTCCATCCGCAACCTGAAAGAGACCACTGGGAAGACCAAGGCGTAGGTGGGTGGGCAATATTAAAATGTATCTTAGAGAGATAGGATGGGATCATATGGATTGGATTGATCTGGCTCAGGATAGGGACAAGTGGAGGGCTCTTGTGAAGACGGTAATAATCCTTCGGGTTCCATAAAATGTTGGGAAATTCTTGAGTAGTGCAGAATTGGCGGCTCCTCCAGAAGGGCTCAGCTCCATGAACAAGTAAGTAATAAAATTTTGACATTGATAGTTCCCCTCATCTCCTGTTATAGGATGAGACTTATTTATTTAAGAAAGGTGCAGAAATGAGTTCCATGAAAATGGGAATATATAAACTCCGGGTATTACCTTAGACTCGGTGGTGATCAAAATATTGTGGTTCTGTACAAAATGAAGATTATTAAAGCCATAAAATAAAAAAAAAATACTTGCAGAAATTATCATCCATATTTTAACAAATGGTAAAGATCCAGGAATGTAAGGTAAGGATTATATGTACTTTAATTGTGTCCTTCTAGAATCTTCCTTGGTGGCGTCATATAAGTAACAGACACAATGAAGCAGATTCCTATTTGAGAAACGTTCTGCCCCACAAATGCACCCTTTCTCCTGGAACTGTCGATACGACAGAAGAATGTGTGTCTTACGTGGTGGATCACTTTGAAATTGTTTGAGAAACTTACATTGAAAAATGACATCGCGAATCGCAGAACACAGAACGCCTTTTGTTGTGGAATGGCCATTTCCGTTTATAGCGCTGCCTAACGGCAGTAAATAAATTTGAATGCAGATGATACATTGAACTTTGGGAGTTTTCCTATGTTTTGAAATATATTAAATATTTCTTCAGGTAATAATTACCATAATTACAGCAATTTAGAATGGTAGCAATCTTTTTGGAAGATCCTGTATTATTAGAGTTGTGAAATAATGAGGAAGAAAATGAAGGAACGTAGAGCATGGACGTTGCAAGGAAACATGTAAAAGTTTTACGAAAAACTAAAGGGAAGATCTCATTTTGAAGATCTAGATATAGATCAGAGCACAATATCAAAATCAATCTTAAAACAGGACATGACATTGTGGATTGAATTCACCTGTTTCAACGTAGAGTCAAGTGGAAAGTTCTTGTGAACACGGAAATAGATTTCGGATTCATTAAGAGTGAAATTGTTCTTAACTAGCTGGTCTGCTCTTAGCTTGCCAAGAAGGGCCTTCCAGCAGTCTAAAACTACACCCTAAACAGTGAGTCATACACGACATACGTAATATACGACATAAAACCAGACAATAAATAGTTGCAATAACCAGCATTCCACACTAAAGCAGTCACCAAAAATTCTATAAAGGTAAAGGAAAGTAAAGTTGTTTCTGGGCTTAACTAATTGAGTGTTACGCCATGAAGACGTATGGGGAAGTGGATGTATAGATCCACATATACTTGACTTCGGCACTAGCTGGAGGTGAGTGGTCAATTTCACGCCTCGGTCGCTTTATCCCCGGGGAAACAGCCCCGGTATCCATTGGATAGCAGTTGGGTGGAACCCAGAGTCGGTCTGAACGAAGTGGAGAAGAGAACATTCTTGACCCTACCGGTAGTCGAACAACGAACTCTCGGTCATCCAGCCCGTAGCCATTCGCTATACCGACTATTCTATCTCGGCTCCTTATGTGCAGCCCGTAGGCAGTCGCTATACCGACTACGCTATCCCGGCTCCTAAAAGCCACTACTAAATGTTAAAACTACTTAAACCGAGTACACTGTCGACACGCATCCCCAATTACATCTGTTCACCAAAGAACAACCACAACAACACAGTCCATCATGATGCGCACACCCAACCATCCCAGCTACACTTGTTTTGCCAATTTTATCCAATTTACCCATCTTTTTTTTTTATTTTTTATCGTATTATGACATGATGCACAAAAGCCGGAATAGTGAAGTCAGAGAAAACGTCTATTGCTAGTGAACTGCTCGGTAAAATATTTTCCGCAACAACGCCCAATAATGGAACCGTAGTTCAGAGACGGTGTTTTCTCTGTGTCCGCCCTGAGGCTTTATAACGAGGATCTCACGCAGCTAGAAGTGGAATTGAGAGAGTCTCCGGAGATGGCAGTTGGCAGAATAATTGAGAAGAAGCGGCAGGAGACGAATTAGGCTGTGCAAAGAGAAGTTCATAGTGTGTTGTAGTGACAGTGAGACTGTTATAAATCCGTTGCCACGGCACGACCAGTGAAGCGTGAGAAGACTTAGTATATCCCAGTTATTTGTAAAGTGTGTAGTTTAGCGATAGCGCTGTATTATTTGTAGTTACGAGATGTGTCTACAGGGCGTTAATAAATCCAATTATCAAATCCATACCCCTTCTAATAGTCACACCCCTGAAAATACTTGACAATGTCATAAGATATTTACATGATATACAAAGAAAGTTAATATAAATGTCAATATTTCACTATATTTTACTAATATAGACCCATTTTAGTCAAAAACAATTCAATAATGACAGTTATACATTTATGTAAACCTCCTGAAGATGGTCGTAATAAAACAGAATATTAACGCGTTAATTTCAGTTTTACGTGTTTACGTACTTACTGACAGTTGTGTTGACGGCCACGCTAGCACCTTCAGTACTAAAGTAGGCAGCCCTGAGTTCAGTATTTGTTCTGCTTTCTTTGTTGTTATTCTGATCCTTTTATCTTCCTGTCTGCTAAAAAACGGCAGAACCAGAAAAGTTTCGTTTCCTCTTCTAGTGGAATTCCGACGTCGCTTACCGTTGGTTCCTCCTCTGTATCTGTCTCTTTGTATGAGCCCGAAATCCCTTTCCGTCCGTTGCAAAGCATTCTATGATTTCTGTGCCCGCCAGCCAGCACACGGAGAATTATACGAAGAAGCTGAACGCATCAGAAGATTTGCGTCACTCCGTTTGATAGAGAATTTATTTTCTTCAGCTTACATTAAGTAAAAGCTAGAGACCCGCGCAGATGAAATATACTTTGAGCTCCAGCTTGTGCTAAAGGGACGCTGCATTGATGGCATGAAACCTGGAAGAAGAACAGGGCTGCTGCAACGTCACACGAATTATTCTTTGCGTAAATCCAGCCAGTAAGATTTAAGGGAAAAAAATTAAGTGTACACAAGGAACGTAAATGATCAAGTCAAGGAAGTTGAGGTGGACAGGGCATGTAGCACGAATGGGTGAGACGCGGAATGCATATAGGATGTTGGTGGGAAAGCCAGAAGGAAAGAAACCACTGGGAAAACCAAGACATAGGTGGTGTACAATATTAAAATGGATCTTAGAGGGATGGGGTGGTATGGGTTGGATTGATCTGCCTCAGGATACGGTCCAGTGGAGGGTTCTTGTGAACACGGCAATGAACCTTCGGGTTCCGTAAAATGCTGGGAAATTCTTGAGTAGCTGCAGAAGTAAGTAAGTAAGTAAGTAAGTAAGTAAGGACAGGAGAAACTTAATGTCGCTGCGATCATTGCTTCGAATCACACTAGAGGCGCGCATGTCTATATTCGTTTTCCTGTGTTTGTGTTGTCCTTTATATTTTTACTTAGTTTCGTGGGGTGGGGTGAGACTGAGACCACTAGGTAAATCGGCCATTAGTTTTCCTATTATAGCAGCCCCGGATGATGATGATGACGATGATGATGATGATGATGAATGTGGAGTAGTAGGTGGAATGAGAATTGACAAGGGAAACCGAAGTACTTGGAGAAAATCTGCCACAATGCCACTTTGTCTACTACAAAACTCATATGACCTGAACTGGGCTCGAACCAGGGCCGCCTCGGTGGGAAACCGGAGATTAACAGCCTGAGCTATGGCACGGTCTATTTGGCCTGTACAAGTAGAGGCCTTGTGACGGGCTGATCACCTTTTGAAGGAGTCCTACCGACTGTCTCTAAGATTCATATTATCAAATTAATTCTATATGGGTACAGGCCAGAGATCTTAATACGTCACGAAGACGTCAAGAGGAAGTTAGAAGAAACTCAGTTTAGAATTACGAATATTTAATACACTGTAACGTGTCTCCAAGCCGGTCACGGTAGCCCAGTTGTCTAAGACATGTACTATCTTCGCTCGATCGGAAGGTGGGTTCAAATCCCACACAAAGCATAGAGTCTATGCCATAGACGTTTAGTATGTGTATGTGTTCATTTTGTGTTTGTGTTCTCGTGTGTTTAGGTAGAGGCCTTGCGACGAGCTGATCATTCATCCAAGGAGTCCTACCGTCTGTAAAATGGTCACAAAACTGAAAATCAGAAGCCAGGACCCAAGTGGGCTGTAGAGCCAGTGAAAACAAAGAACATGTCTTTATGAACATTGCTATTATAACAAGAGGGCACGGGGTAGCGCAGTTGGTTGGGGCACTATGCTACAAGCTGGAAGGTCGCGGATTCGAGTCCGGATAAGGTGGATTATTTTTTTCAGTTTACCTACTCCTTCCAGACGCACTATGGCCCTACGGGCGACTCAGCCTCTAACAGAAATGAGTACCAAGAATCTTCCTGGGGAGTAAAGCGCGGCCGGCGCGTAAGGCTGACAACCTTACCGCCATCTGTGAGCCGATTGTCTAGATAATGTGGGACCCTCAACGTCTCACAAACCCTATGGGCCTTCACGGCCTGTTACAGGGATACTTTACCTTTTTTTAAATATTTATATTTAGCATCCTTAAAGCTACATAATTACAGAATTAAGAATGACATCTCTTTACCTGATGACGCGTTGCCAGACACGTCAAATGATATGACTATGAAAGATATTTGGAGGGAAGAAATCTTGGACGATTGTGACATGCTGTTCTCTGTTTCCTAGAGGTAATGAGTAAAACTAAGAAAAACCTTTTCAGTTCTTGTTTATAAACAGTTATCCTCAGAAAACGAGTCGGCCATACTATCGATGACGTAATCAGCGTGATCTGATGTTAGTGAGGACAAAAACCACTACATAAGTGAAAAACTTTTGTTACAATGAATTATTACGGATATTACGCCATAACTTAGGAGTATTCCCCATTTAAACGGCTGGTAATGATGAGTTAAATGGTTTACTGTTCCATGAGACTAAGTGTCATATCTAGGCATGACGTAATTTTTCCCGTGCTTAGCAATAATTTAAATGTAGATAACGTAAACACAGGAAAGAAGCAGAAATATAGTATTCAGAGGTAAGATGGCAAATGAATATCGCTATATTTGGATATCTTTGGATAACTAGTCATAGATACAAGTATAGTAAAATGGATCTTAGAGATATAGGATTCAAGAAATTGGCTTAAGGGAACTTTATTAATGTTGAATCCAGTCATGAGATATCGTTAACAGAGTATTGAATTTCATGGTTCTGCAAAGTCAGGAATTTCTTGACCACCTCATTAAATATACGTTCTTAAGCATGACTGGCTGGCAGTTACTAATTCAGTCAGCAAATAATCGCAGATAGTGAGCCGACAAACTGTCTTCAGGAACAGATTAACATATTTTTTTGCTGAGCAAAAATGTTTTAGAATAGAACGTTGTAACGTAATGAATATTGAGTATAGAATTGCTTTGAAACTGAAGCATATCTGGCTCAATTTCCAGTCCGCAAAAGATCGAATTAAACACTGCATATCTAGAATACGACTTACTTTTCCACACCCTTTGTCATTACTTTTCGTAATCACCCTTACAACCGTCTCCCATACAAGTCAAGTTCTCCTAAGCGGTGCCCTTCCGCCAGGGTGTCAGAGTAAAATCGTGTGTGTCCATATCCTTCCGTTTCTTCAGCCTCATATATTTCATAATTTTAGTAATAGGCCAATATTATGAATAACACAAGTAATGGAGCCCCATTTTTCATAATTTTATCCAGCATCCTCTTTCGTTCTTCTCTTTACCTTCGAGTCTTCTCCTCAGACCTTTCTTCTCGGACAATTCAAATTCCACTTCTTGTCCCCTTAGGGTGAGGCCAAGTTACAAGTGACTTACTATTATTATTATTATGTGGGGGCACGCGGTAGCGTAGTTGGTTGAAACCCTATGCTACAAGACGGAAGGTCGCGGGTTCGAGTCCCGATGAAGTGGATTTATTTTTTTCAATTTACCTAATCCTTCCAACCGCACTTTGACTCTGGGATCGGCTCAGACTCTAACAGAAATGAGTACGAGGAATCTTTCTGGGGGGTAAAGGGATGCGGCGCGTAAGACTGACAGCCTCACCACCATCTGTGAGCCGATTATCTAAAGAACATGTGGGAGCCTCGATGTCTCATAACCGTATGTGCCTCCAAGGTCTGTCACAGGCATAGCTTTAATTTTACCTTAATTATTAATATTATTATTTTGTTGGTGTGTGTTTTGTTTCTTTTTCTTTACTCGTGCTCGCTTAGTAACTGGTCTGCGGGATTTTACGTTAGCAGGTTGAGAGAAATAAGAATTGAACTGAATTATTCTTGTGCTGTTATTGGAGATGAATCTGAGTGGAGAGACAAGGCCATCATACGCACCTGAGGAAGGGGCTACCTCATGTACAGCGGTCATTAAGAAGACAAAGGAGAAACTGGGAGAAAACATTCAAGACGGACCTTAAAGGAAAATTGCCGAATGGAAATAAATGGAACTGGATCAGATTTGTGCCCAGTGGTGGTTTCTGGTTAGAGCCGTGCTGAATTTTCGGATTATTACCAGTTCAGTAACAGAACAGGTTGTGTACTGGGTAATCTTTATTAGATTCCCGTCAAGAACAGCGATTCTCATCTCCAGCTTCAAGAGCTGTGAAGCCCATTAAGATATCCTACTGGCTGATTCTAGGGCTTCGTCATCTGGAGGTCAAGCGGCTGGTAGTTAAAGCTACAAAGTAACTTGCATATACTGAGGTTATGAAATCACGTCTTTTGCGCTTTTCCTCCTGTTCACAGGCTCCGGAAAAATCCCACAAGCTGCAGCAATTCCCACTTAACCAAAAGTTGACGCATGAACAGAGACGGAAGAGGAGAGAAATGTTTTATTAGCGTTTGAAGTATTTCATTCCGTACTTTTGGACTTGGTTTCTCATTCCCGAGGACAAAATATCTTGCAAGTACAAGATTACTAAGAGTCTGACTACCAACACTTATCGTTCCACATCTGATGTCCTAATTCCGTGAATATCCTTGAGCTCTTTCTGGAGAGATTAAGAGTTCTCAGAGACGAAAGGTAATACATGCAGCTTAATACTTTTCCCCATTAAATATGTAAAAGACACTGTACTTTTAGTATACTTTGATACGACGGCTGAAAATCTGGAATTGTGGCATGTGTGGATGTAGTCATTGCTAGACAACGGCGAGCTAAATGCGTGTCCGCGGCGACGGATTCGCACGAAACAATTTATACCTTTTGAATTTTGCAGTAACACTTACAACTTCAAAAGGACTAGGATCAGACACTAACGGCTCAGCTGTATGGATTTTTACCTGCCTATCCTTACTGACCCTATGTACATTCAATAACTGAGAGAAGTAGTTCCTCCACCTTTTCAAAATGTTGTGGGAATCTGCAAGCAGATCACCATTCTCATTCTTCACTAAGTTACTGCTAGGCTGGTAACCCCCCTTAATGTCATGTATTCCCTTAAACAGGTCTCTAATATTCTTGTTATTTCTGTTCGTTGTA